CTTGTCATGCCTCTTCTAGTTCAAAGACAGGCGCATCACTGAGCCAAACGCCTACAAAAAAGATTACCGTAGAAGGTCTGCGGCCCAAAAAGACGCAATGTGACTGATGATGCACATCGGTGGGCATGGGTTGTGCCAGGACATAAACGTACTGTAGCTCTGCCGTGTAGCTCGTGCTTCCAGGGCCTGCAAGAGGAGCCAGGCAGCTTGATGGTCCATCTGTCCAGCAGGGTCTTTAATGGAATAAGGGTGGCCCGAAGTGAGACACAGAAACAGCGGGCCGGTCTCATCCTGGCCACTGTGCAAAGGTGGGTGCGTTGCCACTGGATGGTCTGCACAGCTCGGCTCACAGCTGTGGGGGGTCACCGGGTGCTCCGGGAATGTGTGCCTGCCGTCCTGGGACATCCAGCGCGGTCTGTCGACGAAGATGGCCGCCCTCCGTGGTCTTGGCGATGTCCCTGGTGTCCCTTAAAACTCAAAGAGGAACCTGACCCTCAAACCGTGGTGAAAACACAGGCGCATCGCCAAACGCTTAAAAAGAAACCACCATTTTGGAGGTCCCCTAAAAGGAAGCCGCCATATTTCAATTCGGCTGTCTCTTGCCACTGCTGGATCTCACCGGCCCATGACTTTCTGGAAATTGCCCCGCCTCGCTGCTGTAAACAGGGAGACTGCTGATTGCCGCACTGATCGCCCAACTCGCGACGCCTTGGTCCAAATCATTGTGAAGATACAAGCTCCGATAAGAAAACAACTTTAAAAGACAGATGTTTGAGTTCCAGAATTGCTGAATGCCTTTGCAAAAAATGCATTTTCTATCTGGTCAATGTGGCCTCCAGGCATTCAACCGGCGACGAAGCCCTAATGTCTCGCGCGAGACATGGAGAAAGAAACAAAACGATGAACTAGCAGCGAGCGAGGTCTGCAAAGATTTGCGAACGCTTGGCCATTGTGAACCAAGCCTTGCAAAAACAATACCGTAAGTTGAAGGACACGGAGACAAAAGTTGTAACGTTTTCGGACCTTTTCTAAAAATGAACCGTAAAGGGAAAAGCAATAGGTCAAAAGGTGGCTTTGGGCAACTGAGTACCCACAGGTGCGAATGGGTGTGCCAAGTTTCAGATTCCCGGAGAGATGTCAAGGCCGATTGCCGGTCCTGAGCAGAAACAGTGTCGCCATGCCCCGCCCAACCCTTTACCACTAAAAATGGATAGTGTTTACCCTAGAAAGCCAGGTTTTCCAAAGAAGGCGGGACGTCCTGGGGCCGTGTTTTGCAAATTGCTGGGGCTGCGTTCTTCTTCGCGTAAAGTTTAAATATAGTTTTTTAGATTACAGAGATATCGCAGTTGCGTAAACGCAGATGCAAGAAGTCACCGTATTGAATTACATCAGAATTGGCTGCAGGGTAATAATACAATACTAGGACAATACTAGGGGAATACTAGGCTTAGGATAGTATTAGGGGAACACTGAAACATACTTAGGACATAGCAAGGCAACACTGGGTAATACTTAGGGAATTCTAGGACAATACTAGGGGAAGAGGAGTAGTGGAATACTAGGAGAGCACTAAAGGAATACTGAGAAATATTAAGGGAGTACCAAGGCAATACTAGACGGCGAATACTCAGCGCAGCGAATTCTAGGGCAATACGAGGTCGATGCTGAAAGGGCTGCTGACGAAATACCAGGACTATAGCAAGAGAAACTAAAAGAATAGCAAGAGAATACCTAAAGGAATTGCAAGATAAAACTAAAGAACTAGCAAGACAATACCAAAGGAGTACTGAGCAATACTTCGGGAATACTAGGATACTAGGAGAATACTAGAATACTGATGAGAATATTTGGAGGCAGCGACACCTCCATCTTTGGCTTTCTTCTTCATTGTCTTGGGTAGGAACTTGTTCAACAGGCCCCAGACAGCATCTATTGCGAACCCGGTCTGGGAATCATGGGCATCCAGCCTCGCTTTCAGCGTGCTTCAGCCCCTTTGAGTATTGCCCCTGGAGCTGCCCGCTGCTTCAAAGATTCTGTTTACATTTTTTGGAAACAGAAGGGGGCGCCATGGCAGTTTTTTCAGGGTAGTAAACAACAAATCAACTGCAAACAAGCCTCGGGCGAGCACAAACAAAAACAACAGATTGCAGACCCTAACCCTCCCCCCCTCCTTGATGTCTGCAATATTATGTTTGTTGTGTTCTCTCACGGTTTCTTATAATTTAGACGCATAATCTTGCAATTACTTTGGTAATTATCTTGCTACTCCTTTGGTTTCTCTTGCTATACTCATAGAAATTCCACAGTGTCCTTTCAGTGTTGACCTTGTATTGTCCTAGAATTCCCTGAGTATTCCACCAGCGCCTAAACTGTAAAAGCCTCGAGCAAACCAAATCAAAAACAGAAAAAAACAAGAAGACAAACATTGCAGACCCTAACCCCCCTTGGGTCCACCATACACACACACACACCTTTGGGGTCAGTAATCTGGTTTTGTGTTTTTTGTGTTCGTTGGCTTTCTCGAGGTTTTGTGTTTTTTCTCAATCAACATCTCCCAAGTGTTCCCCAGTATTCTCCTAGTATTCTCCTAGTATCCTAGTATTCCCCAAGTATTGCTCGGTACTCCTTTGGTATTGTCTTGCTAGTTCTTTAGATTAATCTTGCATTTCGTTTTGGTATCATTTTGCGATTCCTTTTGTTTCTTTTGCTATAATCCTAGTATGTCCTCAGTACCCCGTTCAGTATTGACCTCGCATTGCTCTAGAATTCCCTGAGTATTCCCCTAGTGCCGTGACTGCAAAAAGCCTCGCGAAAAACCTACATCACAAATTGAACCATATCTTGGTTTGTTGTTTTTCTCACACAAAACACTGAATATCTTGGGGCCAGAACAAGTTGCTACCCGAATAGAGGTGTCAGCACGGCAGCCTGAGCTCATCATGGCTGAGGTCTCGGCCCATCCGAATGAGGTCTCGTGGCTCTGGCTTGAACACGAAAGAACATTGATTTGGAACTCTTAGTATGTTTCTCCTGACAAATGTACTTAACATGTCTTCCCAACGGTATAGTACACAACTTTTATTTTTTGCATGAACAAAGCCATGACACCTAAAAACCTAAAAACATACCAACAACAGTGAAGATGACCGCTGCCGAAACTAGCAAGTTTTTGCGAAGGGAACTTTGGGGTTGAACACGTGTGCCCGCGCTGCTAGGGGGATTTGCAGCCAGATTGTTTTTGCCCCACAGGGGCCTTGAGACTGTGCTGTGCTCCGAATGTTAACCGTGCAAAGCGCCAACATGTTGAACCCCTTGAGGTTGTAAACAAAAACAAGACAAACACATGGTACAATTCAAACTGCACAACATGAGTACGCAACCGATTGAAGCCCTGGAAGAGCTTGCACGGGGACAGTCTGTGCTGGCTAGCTTCGGGATTGGTTGAAGATCGGGACTTCGACACGCTCACCTTGTTGTTCTGGCTTTTCATCATTGCTCTCATAGATTCCTTTGCCAGTCCGGCCCTGAGGGAAGGCAGGAGGCGATACAAGCTTTGCACATGCGCCTCGCCTGCGCGCGTGGATCGCTTGCAAGCTGTAGTTGATGGCAGCAGTTGGGGCGTGAGCACACTGCCGTGTAAGGTCAACCAAGTTGAGGCCTTTCACCTGTCGCACGGCTGCGTGGAAGATATCCTGCATATCCCCCCGGAAGATGCGAAACTCAACATGCTGAAGCAGGACCCAACCTCTGGCAGCCCAAGCACCGCACTCATGAGCAACAGCACACACGTCCAAGCCAGCCAGAATTGGACTGGAAACTGGGCCTCAAAGGCGAACCCCAGGAACTTCAGCACGCAATCAGCGCACTTTCCTGCGCAGTTGGGCCCAGGCTGTTTTGCCATGTGGATCGCGCTGCGCATGACTAAACGACAATACCTCACTTTTGGGGCTTCCTCTATGTTGTCTTGAGGGCGGCAGGGCATTGTTTTGAAAAGCTCTGCCTGCCACAGGCGTTGCCCCAATGCCCCAATGAAGTACTGGCAATACTCAGTCGCCCAAAGAACCCAGAATAAAAGATTAACCTTTTGGGGCCTTTACGAAAAATAGACAAAAATTGGAAAACCAAAAGGTTAAAAGGTCGGCTTTGGGCAACTAAGAATATAAAGTGATCATATCCGATACCTGTTGAGTAGTGCTGCCTGGTCATGTCTATCTGACTTGCCTGCAACATTGCAACGAGACGGCCCCTCACAAAACATTCCCTTAAAACCTAAGTTGGCGATTGGTTTGTGAAGGGGGCGGCCCAATTGCAGAGAAGCCTTCCCCAAGCGGGAAAAAAAGACCGTCGCAGGCATTTCGTCGCCCGGAGTCCTAGGCAGCCCAGGCGGACATTGGTTTCCTCCTTGGGCACCTACCGAGTTCTTTCAGACTTTCGCGACTGCGTGGGCCCCATGAAACAATTGTGTTTCATGCTTGGGTTGTTTGCACGCAACACATTCTTTCCATGGCTTTATGTCAGCATGCCTGCTCAGATCTCACATGTCCGGTGGGCTAGTTTTGCCGGACGCCTCTGCAATTCATAGGCACAAATATGCGATGCGACGCTGAAAGCTGACGGGTTTTTTGCGAACAGAAGCCCCGCATGGCAACCACCTTGCACCCCCACACGCGCTGTGTCACAGGCTCGTGGCAAGAAACCCAAGTTGCAAGTCAACGCAAATCAACCTGAGCGAGCTCCCTCTGACATTCTGCGTGATTGACAAGGCAGCTTGGGAGGAATTGCGAAACACGCTTATCTAAGGCTGCAGGCGATTTCGCCTCAGTGCGAAATATAAATTAAACACAGTTCGGCCCAGCAAAGCAAGACTCTGCTGCAACAAAAGACTCTGCTGCAACACGAGTAGGCCACAGGCAAAAGCCCCAAACGGGTCTGCTGGTCGCCTCGTGCTCCTGGTGCAAAAGCAGCGCTTCGCGGGTTGCCCAGGACACCCGCGCGTCAGCCTGTGCAAAGCTTTCAGAAAAGGCAAGGTCGGACAAGCTCCCCGCAAGACGCCGTTTTTGCATCCTGCCATTGAATATGCCAGGAGGCGGATCAACCACGTAGTCAAATGACAAGGCAGTTGGGGCTCGACTCCCGTGGGGTGACCAATACCCTCGACAGTTAGTCGTATAGTAGTGGTTGTGGTAAAAGGGAGTTGTAAGGTAAATGATCTGCGTCGTCTCACGACTCGATGCGACCGCGGAATACGAACCCTTTTGCTTTGCTTCACAGCTGCGTTTGGATGTTTGCCTCGATTCTATTGTCAAGGTCTTGAGCCAAATGCATTCGCATGTACATGTCGGCTGCACACAAAGCACAATTCCCTCAAAGGTTTAGGACCTTAAACAAGGGGAAGTAACAGGGTGACCCTCAGAACCTGCCCTTAGGATGTTTTAGCCTGCGGCTCGGAGATTCTTAGCATCCCCCATCCCGGGCTTGGGTTCATCCCTGGGTCGGGAACCAATCACAAACGCATGCCGACACGCATGGACGCACGGCTTCTCTTTTTCAATTCAGTGAAACGTCTCTGCACGAGATTGACCAGGTTCTGTAAACTTAACATGAAATGAGAATGCTACAGGTCTCTTGCCGGACCTCATGTGCAATGGTGCACATGCAGCAAGCTACCTATAAGGTAATTGTACAGATCCAGAGCAGTCTGCAGAAAACAAATATCCATGACGAGCATAGTCCATCACCAATTTGTAACCAGTAATAATTGTAGCATCGAGCAATCGTTGACCACCGAATACCTGGCATCTCCAGAATAGTAGTCGCTGATGACGATACTGTACGGAAACAAGAACACATTCTGTGGTGATATGTGCAAGTCTCATGCAAATACTTTTGTTTTGCCCAGTGTACCGTGCACGACGAGTACTACAAGGGCTGGCCATGATACCATGCACGATGAGTATCACGATCCTATTGTGTATAAATGCAAAATCCAGTTGATCCTCCACGTAGAAGAAGTCGTAAAGAAAATGCTTGATCACCAGTGTGATGATTCTGCGATGGCCTTTCTACTCGCCCTCCACCGGAACCTTTCTAACAGAGAATGTGGTGTCTCCTCGGTCCGATTGACCTTCTCTATAAAGCGCGAGGGTAAATGTATATTGCGAGAAAAGCACCATTGGATAAGAGGAGCGTCGGCCTCTTTGACGCTTTGAATGCAAATGATGGCGCCAAGCTCAAGTTTCAAGAACTTGCGTCCAATGTTCACATCTGTTCGGTAGAAGGTCATGTAATCGCAGTTGAGGCCAAGGGCGATGCATCGGAATATCGTGTCGCTGACGAAGGCAATGTCCTTCTGGTGGCTGACACCTCTGAACTGCTCTGCTTTGATACCAAGTATATGGCAGGCGGAAATCCGGTACATGATGTATAGCCCTCTCAGCTTCAGGAACCAAAAGAACATTTCTTCGTCCCTGTGGTTTGCGATTTTGAACCTCGCATTCTTGAACTTAGGGGCGGCAGTGACCTCTTCATAGGTTGGCGGGATTGGAATGTTCTGTTCATCGGCATCTTTGAAAATCCAATCGTCCTTCTGATCGAGATGTAGGGACAGTAGAGTCCGCCACCTTCGCCAGGCTCCTTGACCACATCTGCTTCGTTGTTGGCAAAAACCTTCCACACTTTGAAAAGCACGACGCCCATGAATCCAGAGAGGTATGACGCCTCGCCGGCTTCGTCAACGCAGATGGCCTTGAATTGCGTCCGCATCCTCCTCTGGGTTGTCCGGACAAACTCCCGCGTCTTCATTGTCGATGTCCGTCCCGACATCCGACGGGATGTACGATCTGCCTGCAGACCGTTCCTCACTCATCTCATGGGTGTCGGGTCGTTCTTCTTCGGCGACGAATCGCTCAGCATCTTCCCTTGCTTCTCGCTGAGCTTGTTTCACTTCCTCCGTCAGTCGGATGGTTTGGGCTCGTCGTCATCCACATGGATCACGAACTTGCCGGTGGAAATGAACCCACATTCGCATGCCGTGCAATAGCAAAATCCCCTTGGAATAATGATAGCGCATGCTGGGCATACTCTGTTGGAAATGCTTGATGGATCGTCCTCGCGGTAGACAATGAATCTGCTGAGCAAATCCCTGATCTCTACCAACGATTTGTCCAAGGCCTCGGGCACTCCGATGTTGATGCACGCATCGACGACCATCTTGTTCAGGATGTCGGCACCCGCAGAGTCTTCATCATCCAGGAAACTGTTGAGGATTCCAAGAAAGTCCGCTGGGGTCACGCCCACAGCGTCCTTGAATCCTGGTCTCGCTTGCAAAGGCTCCAGAAACTTGGGCCTGACCATGGCAAGGCTCCAACAACCAACAACTTGAGGCATGACAAGGCTCCAGAAACATGGGGCCTGGCAAGGCTCCAGAAGCATTGGGCCTGACAAGAAACATTGGGCCTTCCAAGGCTCCAGAAACACATTGGGCTTGGGCCTGCAAACTGCAAAGGCTCCAGCAACATCGGGCCTAACAAGGCGTGGGGCCTGGCAAGGCCAGAGAAACACATTGGGCCTGCAAGGGCTCCAGAAACATTGGGCCTGACAAGGCTCCAGAAAACCGAGGCATGACAAGGCTCCAGAACATGGGGCCTGGCAAGGCTCCAAAACAGACACGGCCTGACAAGGCTCCAGAAACAGCCTGACAAGGCTCCAGAAACATTGTGCCTTCAGAAACAGGCCTGACAAGGCTGCAGAAACATGGGGCCTGGCAAGGCTACAGAAAAACATTGGGCCTGCAAACACTCCAGAAACTTGGGCCTGACAAGGCTCCAGAAACAGTTGGGGCCTGACAAGGGTTCTGGGCTCCAGAAAAATTGGGGCCTGACAAGGCTCCAGAAAAACTTGAGCCTGACAAGCCTACAGAAAAACATTGGGCCTGCCAAGGCCCCAGCGCATTTTGGGCCTGGCAAGGCTCCAGGACAGGGCCTGGCAAGGCTCCAGGGAGTTTAAAAAAATGACTGGCAAAGCCAGACAGCAAAGTGGTGTGAAAAAACAGTGTGGCATTGCAAAGGATGAACTGACTTGGACTGCTCAAGTGTTTGGGCATTCAGGGTTTTGCTGTGCTCCCGTGAGGTCATGCAGTTGCAGCTGTTGGCTCCAGCCAATATGGCACCTAAGTGGCAATGGCCAAAAAAGTCAGGTGCCCAGAAAAAGAAATCAAGGGAAGCCAGGGGCATCCAAAGCTGGGGTGACATCAGAAGGAAAACAATAAGGGATGCCAGGCTGCAGGCACGGCAGGACCAGCAGGAGGAGCAGCCAGAGAAGCCAGACACATGGCCCAGAACCAGCCAAAGACATGGCCCCATGACCAGCCAAAGACATGGCCCTATCACTCAGAGACATGGCCCTATGACCCAGAGACATGGCCCTATGACCAGCCAGAGACATGGCATCAAAACAGCCAGACCAGGAGGGCACAGAAGGAGGCAGCAGCAGGGCCATGTGAAAGAGGATGTGAAAACGCATGAGGCTACAGCAGAAGAGGAGAAGGAGGCAAACAAGGAGCAGAAGGAGGCAAACAAGGAGAAAACTTGTGAGGCTACAGCAAAAGAGCCACTCACAGAACCGCCATCCCCAACAAGCCCATCCTCAACAAGCCCATCCCCAACAAGCCCAGCTTGCAGCAACCAGAATGAAGGCCAGGATGCAACAGAAGCAGCAGCAGAGGCAAGCCAAGGAGTTCAGGAGCAACAGCCGGTTGCCTTGAAGGAAGAGCAGCAACAAGATGGACCAGCACCTGCAGCAGCCAAGAAGAAGACCAAGAAAAGGGCCTACAAACTGACCCCGTGGCAGCGAAGGCAGTGCCTTAAACAGGCTGAGCAGCTGACAGACATGAAGGACAGCAAGCAGATCCTTGCCAAATACTGGCTCAAACTCGCCAGAACCCACATGAGGCTTACCATGATCCATGCTGAAATGAAAAGGCTTAGGAAAAGAGCCGGTCCAAGCTCACTGGGTCTGCAAGGGCCATATTGGGCGAAGTGCTTGCCATGGACATCCTGTGCCTGTGCGAAAATTAGCTTTGTCATTTGTACCTTGCCACAATGTGCTTTTCTCTCAGGACCTTGGTGATGATGGTGGATTGGCAGGGCTTGTCATGGTGCCACTGAGTGAGGACTGGTTGCGCACGCTTTGAGTTGTTTTGTTTTTGGCAGTGGCTTGCTTGTGGCTGCAGGTTGTGGTTCCTGGGGCCAAGCCAAAGGCAATGATAAGGACTGGGCTTTGCTTGAACCATCTTTGCATTCTGATGCCACCCCTCTGCAGGAAGATGTGAGAGGGCAAAAGCCCACAAACGCTGTGCACTGAGTGAGGACTGGTTGCGCACGCTTTGAGTTGTTTTGTTTTTGGCAGTGGCTTGCTTGTGGCTGCAGGTTGTGGTTCCTGGGGCCAAGCCAAAGGCAATGATAAGGACTGGGCTTTGCTTGAACCATCTTTGCATTCTGATGCCACCCCTCTGCAGGAAGATGTGAGAGGGCAAAAGCCCACAAACGCTGGCTGTGCAAGAAAAATGCATTCAATAGGACAAGGGGGCCTGGCAGCATGGCTTATGGAGTTGACAGCATGTTGGACTGAATCTAGCAAACATGTTTGGGCTTGAGTAGCTGTAGCAAAGATGCTGACCCACATTCTGATGGTGGCCATGCTGCTGGTGCTCCTGAAGGTCTGCGCCCTCATCATCCCATATTTTTCCTCAGATGGTCAAGATGTTCGACCAACTAGTCTCAGCCAGAGTTGTGTTGAACTAGCTGGAGGACTACATGCACCTGCAGTGCAATACATGGGGCATGCTTTCACGTGAAAACACATATGGTGCCAAAGGCAGCCAGTTCTACAGGCACCCTGCCAGAGGATGAAATGCACAGACCTGTGGAAAAAAAGTGCTGGTGATATGTTGTTTTGAGAGAAGTGTGCTTGAAACATGTCAATTTAGGACAGCCTCATAAAT